AAGTCTATACAACGAAAGGAGGCTGCGACCACACAAAAGGACACACCATCTTGGTCTTCATACCTTCGATTATATATACATATTTCCTTTAAGGTGATGAAAGACTGGTAGTTGAACTCCTGGGCAGAGGCGGCATTCAGGAAAAGTCAGACCTTTTCCAAATCAAATATATATATATTTATATTTATATTTATATTTATATATACATATATATATGGCTTTCCCTGAATTTCGCATTTGCTCAATGACCAATTGACATTCTTGGTAGTATATGCGAAGAAAAGTTGTGTTTCGAGGAATCTCTTGTTTCATAATTGTTGAGCTAACTTCCATTTCACTCGAAATGCAAGTAAGCTCAACTATTCGTGGCAGTAACCAGGATTTAATTTCTGCTATTGGTACTAACGTGACCGCTGGCGAAGTCGAAACTGAAGTCTAGTCCTGCCGGAATGAGAACAACTTTTGGGAAGAAAGGCCATGTCAAATGTATTGGCATTATATGACTCATTCCTATGATTATGGTATAATTTTGCACAACTTTTTGTGACCTATGGTGAATACAGCTCTTATTCAAGATCTACCATTAGTATCAAGGTCTACTCAATACAAAGTAAAGTTGGGTTTCGAGGAGCCTCTTGTTTCATAAATGTTGGGCTTACTTCCATTTCGACTGTCGACACTTTTAATCACACCACTTCCATCGAAATAGAAGTAGGCTCAACAAGTACTAAAAATACGCCTCTAAGCAGCAAATTGTGACGCTCTTTAGATGCCAGGAGGGCTGGAGAGGAGACGCTTGTGACGCTTGTATCCCGACGCGGGGTTGTCTGCACGGCCGGTGTCGTGCCGCCCAGCGACACTCGAAGCAGACGCCTCGTCTACAAGAGGCATCGTCGCAGGCGACACCGAAGCTGCGACACCTCAATTCGACGTCACTTTTACGTCGTGCCAAATCGCCGGTAGACGAGACGGCACCTGATCAAAACGGTACCGAGGCCAGTGGCAACAGAAGAGCTGAGAGAATTGCTGGTGATGGGAAGGTCAGAGCCGGCGACAGGTTGGACGAGGATGACGGAGCCAGGCAGTTTCGGTACCCCAACTCCTTGGAGCCCTTTACATGCGTCTGCGATTCCGGATGGGGTGGCATGCTTTGCGACATGGGTAGGTTGGCCAGCCCACTTGTGGGCAAAATATGATTTCATTTGAGTGTCCATTTGCCCGGGACGATGACCGATTTCCAGCATTTTTGCAACATTTTTATGCATTTATGAAAATAATTCAACCAATCTTGCTAATGAGCACTCTAAATTGATACTATTTTCTCGAAGCTTTAACCCTCATCTACTTTTTCTTCATCCTTTATTCCTGTCCAAGTCTTCTCGACTGAGCTACCCTTTGCCCCTTCTTTCATTCCTCTTATTTATTTCTTCCTGTATCTCTTTTACATCCTACGCTCCCTTGCTCTCGATCAGAAAGACACTCGGTTCAACTAGCTTTATCAGATGTCGCTACTTCGGCAACATCAGCCTCAAAAACAACTGCATTAATAATCCATTTTGTTCAGACAAGAGTCCTAAAATGTGTAAAGGAAAGGATTAGTCTCTTTTCAACTTCTAGCCTAATACCGAATTCCCACAATCCAGCATTTTGATCGTATCACATTACAACCTACTGTTTCGCAAGTACTAAGCATATTCACTTCTCGAAATGACCCTCTTACTCGTTCATTTTCCTCGTAGTCTTCTTTATTAGCATACTCGTACTCCGTTTCATACAATCTTCTCGCGTCCGACATGCTGGCTCTACCGTCATTTGTCGCTAGTTTTTTAAAATGACCCCAACTGATGCTGAACTGTTGTGAAGCAGAATCGCAAGTGTGGAAGTCAACAAGATTGGGATAAAGAGTAGAAAGATAATCTCTAGAGGACTACCTACCTCATCAGTTAGAAGTCATATACATAAGACTAAAACGGAAAACTGATATTTTTCGTATGTAAGTAGAGTTTTGAGACTACCAATAATTCATTTATACGAGATGTATTCACCCAATTTCGTTTAAGGTGATGAAAGACTTGTGCTAGAATTTGCCCACAATG